CCCGGGTGCAAACATAATCGCGCGCGCCCACCGCCGAGGAATATCAAACATGCTCGTACACAAAACACAACAATCCGCCTGCCGACGATGATACGGAACTCTCTTATGCCAGCAACCACGGGCACACTCGTGATTTCGTGATGGGGCTAACGGTGGAAATTACAGGAAGCAAAAACGTGGCCGGAAAACGTGAAAACCTTCATGGAATGCCCGCCTGTTTAGAGCTCGAGTCTTGAAACTGTGTGGCGTGCACGCAGTGGCGAACATGAAGTAATTGTGGAATTAAAGTCGGATATTTCGTCGGTTTTTCGAGCGCCTCGAGGGCTACGAACGTTTTCAGGCAGTTTGGCGAGCTTTTCTCATGTCTAACTACTAACTGGAAAGCCTTGGGTTTTTACATCAAAGAATATTTGTAATATAAAACAAAAATGAAACAGTAAACTTTGAAATGTTTCGATATATTTCATAAAATGCACTTATGGACGGGTTGTAACTGCGAGTGACACATGTTTAACATTCGACCATATTTTGTAAGCGTTGCATATGACACAAAAGTAATCATAGTTTCAACGAATAGTAAAAACACACAAAAGCTACATTTTAAATTATGAGAAAACTTTTGAATATTTCATTGAATTTGGATTAATTTCTTGCTAACTTAAATTCGTTTGTCGGAGAAAGCATCGAGTAGTCAGCGGAGTTAAATTAGTTTCAAGTAGGTATGTGCTCGACAAGCAGCCGAGTCAAGCTGCCGGAAATTAGTGCAATTAAGTTTAAACTCGGCGCCGTTCGCTGTTCAGGTGTGAATAATTTATTGGCGGAGCAGAAAATTTATTTGAGTTAAACGCCCTCTGCAATTTTAGCCGCCGGTGCTAAAAAATTTAATAATTCGATTATCATAACGAGCCATTTATTATTTTAGCCTTTTTTTATTACAAGAACTCTTCGTTTGAAAGTGTAACCTCAAAATTGTATATTCTACACCCACGTATTTGCCTCTTCCGGGTTTCTGCTTTCCAGCTTCCGGTTTCGTTTTATTTTGTATTTTTACTACGGTTTTACCTGAATACACAACAACATAATTCTGCCAGCGAACGAAGAAACACTTTTATTACCATTTGTTGTGCGTTTTTTTACGGAACCTGTTTTACCCTTTAAATGAATTACTGAATTTTCCAAATAGATTAAATAGAACAAAAGACTGTGTAATGCTTAATGTCGTTTCGGAACAATGTAGAAGTAGCGCGCACGTAAATATCGTTAGTTAATTGATATCCCAAGAATTTATAGGTCATCCGGGCATAAAATAATGAATTAGGTGCGGCCCACCCTTTAGGTAATACATGTACTCGTATAGAACTTTATTTACACAAAGCACACGGAGAGAAAAAATACTCGAATGCAGCGCGTGTGCAGTCGGTTTGAAGTTCGGCCACCCAGTCAAAAACTCTCAAGTATTTCAATAAAAAGTCACCCTGCTCCTCTGCGTTAGGAGATGCCATCAGATAAAGTCACAAAGTTTTCCGCTAGGATAATGTCAAGGATTTTCACACTCGATATCACACCGGAGTGGCGGCGGCGCGGCCGTCATGGCAGGCGTGTCTATTTAATAAGGACCGGAATACGGGAATGCTAAATGCTTATTCCGGCCAAACGTTTTAATTTGGAACTTTTGTCTGCTCGTTAAACGTCAGCGGCGCGAACTTTTAATTTTATGAATTCATTTAAATTCAAAGTGTGTGTGTGCGCGCGCGTCGGGAAAATATTTTTCTATGCGATTTCGAACGCGTTATTTTAAGCGCGACGAACGCAGAGAACTTGACACTTGACCGTGACTCACGTTCTCAATTTATCTCACGAGGTGAAAATGTGTGCTAAAAGGTTGTTTCGGATCGGCTTTGATGTGAATGAATTTCATTTAGATTGAGATTGATTTTGGCACCATTTCCACTTGTGCAATTTCTATTATTATCAAACGCATCATTTTATCAAGATGTGCAATTTAAAAATTACAATAAATTACAATTTAAATCACAATTTCTTTTGTTTAGATAAAAAAAAATAACGAATGCAACACAGAAAACATCATTAATTTTGTTAAACTAAAAATAACTAAATAATTACCAACCTGTATTGAACGCAGTACTCGTAGATAATTGTCGATGAGAAATTACTTGCAGTAAACACAATAATACGCGAACTAAATTAAACGTGTTACGCGTAGAAGATGTTGTTGAAGACTGAATAGTAAAATTTCGCACGAATGTTTATTTACGTTTGATACAAATCAAGTTGCGATAACAACGAACGACTCCTGCGTTATCAGCAAAACACAAAACGTTGCTTGCATTAAAAACAAACTGCGTTCACGTTGAATTTACATCAACTCAGTATTTATTTATAAAATGTATTTACGAACGTAACTTTCAATTTCTCCATAGAATTTACTTACTTCTTATTTGAAGAAATTGACATAATCCTATTGCTATGATCAAGAATGTGCGCTCGAGTCGGCGCGTAATCCGATTTCGATAGCAATTTATGCCATTTCGTATCAATTTTGCCCCTGCACACACGTACCATGTTACATCGGACCAAATTCGTACTAGTTAAACTTTTATAAGATACTCATCCTTCTTATACACATTGTATCCTATTTCTTTATACCTTAATTTCGCGCAAATCGCCCAAATTAGAAACGTAATACTTATCTACAACTGTGGGCAGAGATCGAGTTGCTTCGTTTATTTGATGGGATATTTGATAATTAAAACAACTCGTGGGTAGTAACATAATGTGGTGTAGGGTGGTTGAAATAGAAAGGTAATACGGGAAAACATAATTCGATATGTTTCCGAGAAAAACCCATGTGTAACAAGAAAAGTTCAGGCGCGGAGCTGAAAAAACGAAACGCATGAAAGCAGTTGGAATATATCATGTATGCATAGAATGTCATGCAAGGGTGGATAATGAAAGAACAAATATAAGCTTGGCATGCATGCACACATCTGATTTTAATTGGGATCGCGTCGGGGAAAAATATTTTTCAGAAAGTTAAAATGAGGTATGCAACCATTGGTGCTTATGGTAATGATGAAAACTAAATTATTTAGAAAAACGTTTTTTTTTTTAAACGTAATCTTTGGAATATTTAAGATTTTTTAAATGTTTCTGTTTAACTGAAAAAAACTGCAATTAAAACTCAGATATGAATATGTGTTCATGTTCAAATTGTGCATTTTAATTGCAACCAGCGATTAAAAACGCACAAAAGAATGGAAATAATAAACTTGCACAATTGAGCAGCGCACAAAAAGCACAACAATCAACCAATTAAAAACTACTCAACAGAAAGCGAACACCATTCATATTACAAATGCATTGTAAATTTATCCATTTGCATCTGGCACTAGCAATATATTTTTATTTACTGTTCACGAAAAGGTAAAAATACATTTTTATTAAAATTCTAGAAACAAAATTTAATATGTTATTGCTAAATAATGTTTTATATTTCAATAAAGCATCGCTGAAATGTAAAATATAACTTTTTTAGTTGCAATAAAAAAAATCTAAAGTATATGATAACAAAATTTATGTATTGCCAAATAATACATGACATGATAAAATTCTCCATCGAAAAACTTTGCGACCCACATGAAAATTTTCCGCCCAATATTTTCGCATTGTTGTTGTTATTTTTTTTTCATGCTTTTCTTAGAATAATGATTGCTCCAACAAGCTTTTATGTTTTATGGTGGCAAAGTTTGCGAAGGTGTACACAGAAATACACGAAATTTTCGACGCGCAATATACATAATGTACGCGCCGCGAACAAATCGCATTATTGAAAAACACATCACCTTCTACTAGACCACGCCGCCCCCGCAACCCGTGACCGCTTTTGTAATAAATTCCACTTTAAGTTTCTTCCTCCTTTGGCACGCTTCTTGCATTACTTCTTGCGCAGCCGGCAGCCACTTTCGTCTCGAATTTCGCCATGCAGGGCACATTGTGCGCTGCCGGCTGCATATTTAAGATGAAATATTATCGCCAGTGAAATAGCTACATCTCCTACACACAGTATACTACATACACGTGTGGCGCGCGGTGTTTTTCATTATTTATCGCCAAAATATGCAGCGTACACATACATAAGTTACATGCGTTAATGTACACACTGCGCGCCATCTAAATGCCAGAATAGCGTCCGCCAAATTACGAGCCATGAATTTTCCATGCGACTGCGTGGAAAATCATGCACTCCAACATGGGACCTGTCGCAAAACAAACATTCTAGCTGCAGCAACTAAAACTTAATACCATTTCGAGGTTATGACAATAAGCGCCATCTATCGGCGCGCAGCTGTAATAATATGATTGCTATATGATTATATGATGATCGTTGATGATCCTCATGTAAGAACGGAACGATGCGCTCAATTTGCGCTTGAATTGTATCCAGCACATGCTTGAAGGGACTAGCGAGGATAATTAGACGCCCGCCTCCAACCTACATAATGCAACCTAGTTAGCTAATCAAATACGCTTTATGGACACAATATAATGAATAATGCCGGGGCTTATGTGGCAATTGAGGGTGCGTGTACGTCCTTACGACGAAATCCGCGAATACCAGGGTCTCCTGGACCTGGAATATTACCTACCGAGGATAATAGGCGACACGATATTGACATTCCCTCAGCACACACAATACCACGCATAGGCATTACATGTGACATTCAGATTAATTTACGGTATACATGTTTACCCATACAAATTTCAATTAAGCGATCAACATTTGAGAGAAAAAATTTTGGTTTTCAGAGTTTTTCTTGCGAAATTTTGGATTGATGGGTTCCCAAGTACTGGTTGCTTGCATGCGGGTAATGAGAACGCCATGTAGCGCTGCCCTCAACTTGGGGTGGTGCAAATTTTAAACAGCCCCCGATTACGGCAACCAGCGGAGGAACACCAGTCGAACATTCATGAACACCACCCCTTTCTCCAGGCTGACGGTAAGCATTAAAAAAAATTTGATACTTTTTTAATTTTAGGTTAATTTTTACCTCAAATATGTAATATGTTGCGGTTTAATTTACGAAATTTAAGCGAAAATCTATTAGTTGAACATTTTGTTGGGTTTCACGTTAATGAACAGGATATTCGCTGTGAGTGGTGGAAAATTAGATTTACCGCACAATATTTTATAAAATTACGGGTTTGACCTACATTCGCATTCACAATCTAAATCCAAGTGGAGTTTTTTTATCAGTACAAGTGAAAAATTTACTTCCGATGATAAATGTTACATCAAACATGAACATTTTTCTTGCGCAAAGTTTTTCGCCGATAAAAAGTCATATTTTTCGTGTTTTGAGCGTAAAGTAAGTTTCGGCGTGCGAATAAAAAAAACGGGACGGCTTACTCCTTACGCCTTAATGCGTTTATAAATCCTTTCGTGAAAATGTGTCACTACAAAATGCCGAAACAATATTACGCTCGGCAGTCGGAACGGATTTTCGCCCGCATCCGATATGTACTCTCTTAGATGCGCAAATGCCGAACGAAAGCTACTTTAAGGTGGTACCAGCCGGCGGGTGTTGGTTGCTGCTTTTTTTTTATTTTGCTTCCACCGAGGTAGACGTCTCGTCGAATATATCGCCGGCTGGTGCAGCAGGTGCGAGCACCGCCAATATTTTATATTCGTCCGCGCCGTCCGTAACATCCTTTCATATTTTCCACTTCCTTCGGCTTTTGAGATACGTCCAGAAATTGAAGAAATACCCTTCGATTCGCCTGTACTTTGATCTTTTTTGTTTTTATTTTAATCTCTCACAAAGAAATAAAAATTATAGTTTAGAATAAGATTTATACTTCCACTGCTATAAATCAAGAAAACAAAAACTCCACGCTGTGCAATAATGTATAAACGCTGTAAAACGCCAGACGTAGAATAAAAACTATTGCAACGTGCAAACGATCGCGTTTGGTTTTTCAATAATTTGCAAAAGCAATTCCGTGCTTTTTTCTGTATTTGGCGAAATTGTGAAATTCGCATTCCGGGCGCGGGTGGCAATAAAAATCAACGCACGTGTACTTAACAGATATCCGTAATCCGAGCGTTTGTCGCCCCGTTCTCCCATTCAATCCGCCCTTATTCCCCGGCGTCGCCTTCGACGAGCACTCGCTCGAAAAACCAACACATGCTCACGACACGCCGTCCCCTTTCAGGCTTTCACACATTTTGCATCCGAGCCTGGAGATTTTCCATTCAAGTGAAATGCAAACTCTATGCAAACGCGATGCTGGCGTGCATATTCATCAGTTAAACTTTATTAATTCCGCGGGGGAGTTTGATCAAAATAGGACTACAAACTGGTAGGTCAAGTATAATACGTACACTCAATAAAGTCCAAACTTTTCAAAACAGATTTTTCCAGTTTTTGCATAATAGAAAGATCTGAATTTTCAATGGCCCAGTTTCACAAGGTCATGGACGTGACTACGAATGTCGGAATCACAGTCACAGAATCGAGAAATTTATGATTTCCTGTTCATTTCCCATTTTTGACGCTGAACAGAGATCAAAAGTTTGATCCCTTGATATAATTTATTTCCAAGGGCTGCTCCATCTCTTGAATAAGGTGTTTTATGATAGACCTTAAAAATGTCAACAATCATCTATAAAGCCCTCCGGTGCGGGTGTAATTAAACTATGACACCAAATAGCAACCCTCAAACTTAACATCAAGTACCCCTGATATTAGGGATGGTCCTTGGGAAGGGTTCGCGTCCGAAATTACGTGCCTCTACATTATAGTTTAAACCTTTATGCCACAGTAACTTTAACTTTATATGCGGGCCCATTTACACTTTTCACCCCTGCCCCCTAGCGTCAATCTTTAAACTACTCTTCGCTAAACTTTTATGTCGCAATTGAGTTGAACCTACCTGCATTTACTCCATTCATGCGAATCATGATGTAAATTCCGGAAGTCGTTTGATGTTCAATTGCAAATATTTTGCCTGTTTGAAGTGATTTGGAATTCGCACACTTTGATGATAGCTTTGATGTTGTTTTGCAGAGCTGGAGAAGAGGATTCCTCTCGCGGCGCAGACAAGTGACTGCGCAGAGCTGGAGGAGTTGCAGGAACTGCTGCACTTCCCCGAAGAGGTCGCCCTGCGCTTGGCCGATACCGAATACCAACTCTTCTATCAGGTAAATTGAATAATCAATAATTGTATTCAATATGCTCATTATTTTTCAATTATTTTACAGGTTCCCCCCATTGATTACCTTCGGCAGGTGACATTAGACCTTGGTGGCACCACCACAGGAACCTCGAGCGACGGTCTACCCGGTAACTCTTCGGCCCGATCGTCTGTCGCGACCCTCATCAAACGATTCAACGAGGTAGGCAACACACAACTCTCGTTATTCATCCTGTCACAGCTGTAACCTCAAGTAACGAATTTAAAAACACTTGATTAAATGAATAAGTTTCCAATTAATAATTTCTCTCCGATGCGACAAAACCCTTTTAACTTCATGCGCGCTTCTATTTAACATGATTAAACGTTAAAGTAAGCCTATTTACTTTTACCGGAGTGCATCTACAAGGCAGCAGGATGCAATTAAGCCTTCTCATTTACATTGCATTTGCAATACATGCCAACAAAATACGCTGCAAAATAGGGCTTCATCGAAGCAATTAATTGAAGAAAATTACTTGCAAAGCGTGCAACATTCTTCAACTTAATATAAGACCTTAAAATGAAACTGCGTGGAACATAACCTAGATAATTCATTTCAAACGGGTGCGACCTCTAGCTTTTGCAATGTGCACTTGAATTATTCATTTATCTAAATAAACTAAACTAGTATAATTAATTACTCCCTATTATTCTCCGCCAAAAATCTCAACATGACGCCCGCATGGCACGCGAATGTTTTGTCTAACTTAATGGAATGCGGTTAATTGTTCGTCGAAATGCTTGGTATTGCGGCGCAGGTGCATTGAATTTATTCTCAAATAGCAGCAAATTATGCTGGTTGTGCAGAATTTATACATATTTGGTGCTCATTTAATTGGAATAGTTGCATTATTAAATTTTGAATAATCAAATGTGCCATAAAATATTTTATTACGTCACTGGGGGTTAAAATAAATACAATTCACTGGTCATTCTCTTTATATGAGGAAATTACGGGCACGTTATGTAACATGAAATTATAATAAATTTGTTTACGCAGTCATTCTGTAGCGTAGATTTCGCCTACGCGTTGTTTCGCTCCCTAACTGGCTATTCTGTCGTTACTGCAACGAATCCGCCCACGCGCTTTTGCTTTTGTTGAGGGTTTTCTTTCCTGCGTGGAATATTGGTGCGATCCTCGAGGGCGCAAAGTACTCGAGCATTTCATTTACATTCGGATAACAAAAGGATTTGCGCGATTTAAGAGACATACGCTAGACGCTCGTGCACTTTATATGCTTGCGAGGCGGAGTTGAAAAATGCGGCCCGTACCCCTGGGGCCCCAAGGACGAGGCGATGAAATATTGCGCTCGCGATGCACTTGAAGAGGAGCGATAAAAATGTCGGCTGGCTTTTTTTCACCTCGAGCGCACAATCGCTGGATTTTCTATTGTATTTACAAAGCTATATGGGATTCTTTCGCACTGGATAAAGCGCCAAGTGATTTTATAATAAAATTCCAAATTCACTAAAAATTTATTTGGCAATTCATATTTTTATCACAACCGGTTAATCGGTATTTCGTAATTGAAGTACTTGAAAATTACAAACCAGGCTCAAATTTAATAACCACGTCCGAAATTCATTCATTCAGGTGTTCAGTAATAAAACCCAGCGTTCCCACAGTACCTTCACGTTTAATTGAAAGCTTTTTGCTTCACTCGGAAGTCGTAGGCCTCTTTTGAGTTTTACGATTTTTAAAATATTCAAATTCGCATTACGCATCGCGCGCCGCTGCGAATTGCTCGAATCTAATTAAATCGCTCGGCCGCGTTTTAATAAGACAATAAATTCAAATTAAAGTCGCAGGTCCCAAGTCAACGATCGCCGGTTGGCGCGGCCGCCGGAAAGAGGGATGGTTATTAAAGTCTCGAATGTGTTTTTTAGGTAAGCGCGTGGGTGACCCAGCTGATAATATCGCAGCCTACGCACGATGCCCGCCGCGCCGTACTGTCCTGCGTCCTGCGGGTGGCCCTATCCTCGTGGAACATCGGCAACTTTAACGGAGCCATGGAGATTATCGCCGGCCTCAAGTGAGTCTATAATGCGCTTTTGTCTTTTTTGCTCTAGTTTGTATCCTTTTACCTTTTTCTTTGTTGTTCTTTCATAAATAAGGATTTCAACTGTATTATATTGTCACACCTAATAGCTAATTGAAAAAATGAAACTCAATTTCCTCAACTAATCAGTCAAGTTTCCTCTTCGCACATTAGTTTATTACTTGCGGTGGTCGCACACGATCCATCTGTGTTGCAAACATCATGATATAAACAACATTAATATCCGCTGCTTGGAGCATCAGCAGCGAGTTATTACCTGCCGTAATAATTCTGCTATTGACATCTCGCAACGCTTCATTATCCTGTCTCAGGCAGCAGTCGCAAACACGCTGCACGCGCCTCGAATTACCAACATTGCAACAACAAGAACAAAGTAAAAAATCATTTCCACCCAGTTCGGCGGAAAATTCAATTATCAGCGTGTAATCAAAATTGTTACATGCAATTTAGTTTATTATTCAATTGAATTTCGTAATTTGATTATTTTTGATCATCCTGTATGCAGTTATCAATGTAGGTTCTAATTTTGTGTAGTTGTGGCTTCGCATAATAGTAGTTAGTGCATTCGACAGTGCCAGCCACTATAACGCTGCTAATTACTGACACAAACAGGCTTTGTAAGCTCGCGCAAGCGAAAAAGTACCCGGTTTTCGAGAGACTAACGAATTTCCTCCGACGAGCACGCGCGCGCGCATGGGTATAATTAATTTACTGTCTGTCTGTTCAACGTCACGCATTTTTCCTGCATTTTACTTCGCCGTTTCCATCATTTTCACGGTCGTTATTTTACATTACGCTTACACGACTTCCAACGCCGACGCAAATACTACACAGGCGCACTTTTTCAAAACTGGTTTCAAGTTTTTTAATTATTTTAACAAAATTTTTAGTGTAATAAAATTTTTTTTTGAATTTTAAAGTTTACAATTGATTTATATAAAATTATACTGTATATTTATTTATTGACTATTTAAAACCGGTTGACCGTGTTTTTATTATTATTTGCTTAGTATGTAGCTCGGGCACAGTTATGTAAAAATGAAATATAATCCTTGTGATCCTGATATTCTTTTTATTTTTATTCCTGTTGTATTTGTGTTTGCCTTCAAAACAAATATTATACCGCTGGAAATTTTATTGTGAAACAGATATTATTGTCCTTTAGAGCATATATTTTTGTACACTTGTTTGCTTTGTGTGCCTGGTTGGCCTGTTGGCCATTTTGTTTTTTATGATTTGTTACCGTGCGTATAAAATGGCAGCCGCCGAAATGACTAACCGCCGCCGATGTCGCGCCAGTTGTTCCTTTCTTCTCGACGCAGCGACGCTGGCTAATTTACTATCACTAATTCGCCGGCGCAGGGGTTTCTTTCGGCCTCCAGCAGATTTGATGGTTGTAGGCCGGCGGAAACTACTTGCTCCTGCGTGTTTTTCATTAACAACACGCCCAGCAGCAAACTCACCAACTGTGCCATTATGTCAACCGATATTAAACTTCTAACATGGACTAATTTTGCACACAGCAAACTGGTTTTTACGTTGTTTTACGTTTATTTCTCTTCCAGATCGAACAAACTCAAGCCGTTTTGGCTGTCGATTACGGAGAAGGAGACGCTGCCGGTGCTGGACTTCCTGTCGGCGGCGCTCCTTTCGGCGGAGTACGATCGTGCCTTAAGTCGCGCGCTGGCGATGGCCGAATGCCCGGTGGTGCCATTCTTCGGCGCCTTTCTGCGCGAGCTCCGCGATATCCTCGCGAATGCGACACACGACGGCGCCCCGGGCACCGCCACCGCCGGCGAACAAAACCCGATGCAGTCAAAGCCGCCCAAATCGGGACGGCGTGATCGCGACCGCGACCGGGAGCGCGAACGGGACCAGGAGCAACAGCAACACAGACAAGTGGTACGAAAACATTACCGTCAAATCCTATTATGATTCAGAATAATATGTATCAACTTTGATTGAATTTGCTCGGTGGGCCCCGTTGGGAGCAATTCTGAATGGAAAAACTTTGCGCTGTTTTTTTATAGTTCATATCAGATTACAACGGCGAAGACCATCACTTCACCAAGATCGGTCCTGGCGGGCTCATCAACATCGAGAAAATCTATCGCACGCAGGCGGTGATGGATCACATCTCGCTCTGCCATCAGCACTACCACACGCGGCATCGCATCTCGCCCACGCTGACTTTAATCGACTATCTCAAGTGAGACCGCTCAATGTCAGCCATCTTGGTAAATCATGTGTAAATCGATTTTGATGTATCAGATCTACTGCGTCTCATGCGCATCGGGTTCTGGCAGCCGGCCCACCTGAAAAACGTGAGGTAGACGCCGAGTACGACTTGGACGTGGAAGGGTATCACCCGGTGCAACCTCTGGTGCATGACCACGGCGTCAGTTTCGTGTGCCTCTCCTCAGCGCTGACGAAAATCGACCAGCATATCATCCAGGTCGGTTTTCGCGCATTCGTCGTGATGACCTTGACCCAATTTCTTTCGACCCACCTCACACCTCTCCTTCTTCAGTGAATCAAATCAAAATCAAATCATCTTGCACCCTTTGACAACTCAAACATCACACAGTCTCAAATTGCCAGTGCTTCAATTAAATTATTTTTACAAAAGGTAATGCAACATGGTGGTACAGCAGTACTATGGGAGGGTGTCGAGGGACCATCCCCGCCGGGTGTACGCGGGTCCTTACTCTACCTGCGACTGGACCGATCGTGCAGTACGCTTATGTGGGTGCGTCCCAGCTGGAGTGGATTGAAAGCGGGCAATGTCTCCGATGGCGATCCCTTTACCACCGACTTCAACCTCTCCTACAACCCAGAAGACACCTTGGCGCCTGGCCTGCTCAGTAAGCTGGCGCTGCAGGCGTCCGGGGAGCAATCGACCGGGACCACTCTAGACGACGGGTAAGCTCTAAATGACGGCCTAAAACATCCCGAACAAAGCACTCAAACAGTTTGTTATGCAATTATCCTCCCAGTCAGCGAAGTTCACAATTTGATCAACTCCAACTTAGGCGACATCAAACAATCTAACCTAATCAACGAATTAAATTTTATTTCAAAGTCAATCATTGGCAAGTTAATGCCGACAATAGTGGTGCCTGGTGTTGGCAAATTAAGTCATAAAACAAACACGAATCAATACAACCACACGATTGGCTAATCGACATCAAACGAGACACGCTCTCAGTAATGGTACTAACTTTGTCGCTAATAAATCCCGCACGCAATCGATAACCCAATAGGAAACTCATAACCGCTTTGTTTATTTAGCATTGTCTTGATTGAGCTGCTAATTAATAATTGTTGTGGTTTCGGAATTTGCTATTATTAATTACGGCACCTTAGTACACAGTATTAATTACCGTGGGTTTAATTTAATCATGATAGATTCTTGGATCTGGTCGCTGTGAAAGAAGTGCATTTGGGTGGGCGGGATCCTGAGAAAGATTTCGAACTGGCACAGATGGCTCGCAAGTATGGCTTGTCGCACGAAAATGGCTCCGAATGTGCGCTGACCATTCTTTATGGTTATGGGTTGAGCGACAATCGCCTCCTCTACATCGTCTGCCCGCCGACGATCTGCAGGTAAGCGCGTTGGAGCGTATCTTTCAGCTCATCAACTCTCTCTCCATTCAACTTCATTACTTCATTATTATCTTACGATTTTTGCTAATATTTTTTTCATGTGGTGGTGTGAAAATCTCTTTATACAGGGTTTGGTACAGTGGACTGTGTTGGTTGATAAGGGGACTGGCGCGCCAGCAGACCCTCTGCGATCGGCGGCTATTGTGGCTGAAGGAACAATACATGCAACTCTACCACGAGGACGGCTATTGTTGCGGGCCATTGGCGGCGGACGCCATTAGGGTAAGTCGAGCGCGACGACAAAATGCGAAATTGAAACGAATTGAAGCGCTAGCATTGTGCGCATGCAGTTTTTTCCCATCGCCGTCTGGTTATTCAATCGTTATTCAAATGGGATCGCTTTTTTTGCAATCTGTTTGATATGTCATCAAATTCAATCATCCAACTAGATTTTCAGATTGTGAAAATCGAGTTTCAATTTGATTTTTGATTTTTGATCTTTTCGTTTTAATAAATTTTTGAATTATAGTCGTTTGGTGGACGTGACTGGTCTCTGGCTGGTTTGGCGCAAAGTTCCCAAACGGGCGCTGAAACATCAGGGCTGCGACGCGAAGTTTCCATGAAGATAAAAAAGAAACAACTCCTCAGCAATCAAACATTCAAGGTAAGTAACCGACGTACACTTAATCTCGCGCAGTTCACCACCGCGGCGCAAATTTAATAAAACTTTAATCAGAGGAAAAAGCAAATTACGAAACAATTCAACGTCAGCATTAACATGACGATTCAAGTGCATTTCATTATGGCGCATGAGCTGCGGCCGCTGGCACTACGCGGCGAAAGCCAACGGATTAAGGACGCAGAGGTCGCTGGGGAAATTTCTCATCTCGCGTTTTGTACTGTTGAGAAGCAACGGATTTTCGATTCAGCCTCGGAGCGCACACCGTTCTAATCTCATATTCATATGTTCGCAAGAGCACGAAACTTTAACGACGTTACATCGCCGCCATCCTGCGGGAGAGAGCATGCATGTTTTACGGCGTCCTCGCGCGCGCGCTAAATGTGTCAACATTTTCTATACAATTTTAATGTCTCGCGTAGGATAAGAGCCTCAAGACGCAGTTCGTTGAGCCGACCACGATGGTGATGGAAAGCAGCTACTGGCGCAATCCCAATCATCATCGACAGTCAACACCGACGACATTCCCCGAGCATCAACCGGATGTCTCCAGGCATCATAGTCTCGGCCATCTTGCTTACAATGTCTCCCAGCCCAGTGGCGGTGCCAAATACGAGAGGTAAACATATAAACTCTAAATAACAAATAAATAACGCTTTACTGATGATTAAATTTCAAAGTGTAATGTTTGTCACAATACAATGTTCTCGGGATAAATGGATTTAATGAAGATGTGAACAGGAAGAGGTTGAAATTGTTTCTCACTTGGTGTGTGTGTGTTTTGTCCGCAGGGAGCGGCACGGGTCGACCGAACATTTATGGCACGGAAGACATCCGCGCGTCGGCTCCATTCTCTACGACACTCAATTAGACTTTGTAGACTTCGTAACGCTTTTTCGTTCGTTTAGGTAACGTACATTTTTGCGTTTATTATAATGCGTATTTTTACGACGCTCGTAAAAAATACATTTTTCATTTAATACCACGTTATTTCACGCTGGGGTTTATCCTGAAGAGTTACTAAAATAACAATCTTTTCCGTACAGCTTATTGATTCGAAAAGATTTGAGGGATTTGTTTGAGCAATTAGCGATATCCTATCGAAGCATGGCTGTGAATACTCCCAAAGTAAACGGCGTCAGTAAAGTTAAAGTGGAACCAAAGAAAACACAAAAATTAGGTAATAATAACATTAAAAATCAAAATAAAACATTAAAAACATAATTATTTGTTATTGATATAGGAGTTTTAACTCGTAATTCCCGTGGAGAATTAGATGGCTCTGTGGGCAATCCTCAGAAAAAAATCTACGACGCAATAGCAGCGGCGAGTATTTTCACCAACTGCGCCGGAATCGACACGAATAATTCGCAGGTGATCACAATGTCGACATTTGCAAAGTTCTTAGAAACGCGACAGATGGAAGTTTGGACCGACGATGATGTCAAAGCGCTGATCCAAAGACACGAACCCGACGCACAGTTGCGACTGCAGAATTGTTTGTCTTTTGAAGGATTCGGCAGGTACTTGATGGACAAAGATAATTATGCCTTTGCCTACGAACGCGAAGTTCCCAACGAGGTGGACATGTCGCGACCGATGTCTACGTACTACATCAGCTCTTCGCATAACACTTATTTAACTGGCCACCAACTTAAAGGAGAATCTTCGGTGGAACTTTACAGTCAGGTAAAGAAATGTTTAACCAGCCAAATCAAATATTTGCATCTTGTTAGATCCTAACATCATAATGGTTGTGAAAAATGAAAATGTCCCTTAGGTATTGCTAACGGGCTGCCGATGTGTCGAACTGGATTGTTGGGATGGTGACGACGGGTATCCGATGATTTACCACGGGCATACATTCACTACGAAGATACCCTTCAACGCGGTGGTGGAATCAATCGATAAAAACGCGTTTGTTACGTCCAGTTATCCAGTGATACTTTCAATTGAGAACCACTGTTCACTACAACAGCAAACTCGTATGGCACACACGTTCCAACGGGTTTTCGGCGAGAAACTAGTAACGAACTTTCTCTTCGAAGGAGACTACAGTGATGAACCTTTATTACCATCTCCAGAACAGTTAAAGAATCGTATACTAATTAAGAACAAAAAACTGATAATGGATGTGCCTGCACCGTTGATTAATTACTCCGCCATGTCAACACCAATGCGCGCGGGCGGTGGTGGCGTCCGCCATTCTGTGCCAGGGCGCACCAGTTCAATCATCAGCAATGCAAGCAGCAGCAGTTTCAACGATGATTACAGCGACGACGACTACGACGATGAGGACGATGAGGATAATATCGACGGTAACTATTCCCACATCTGCCATCCATATACCCTCTAATAGTGAAGTTATTTCGCAACAGAGAAAGCATTGCACATCATCACAGACTCTCCGAGGCAAATGTCCGTCCCACATGCTGTGGGGAATAAGAGTACTAGTTCCACCAAACGACCCAACCCTACGGACGAGAAGCTAAAGAAACGCAGCAGTCAGATATCCAAAGAGTTATCCGACCTTGTAATCTACGTGCAGGTACTTTTCTATGTTATTAAACTTTAAAATTTGTTGAACAGCAACCCACGCGCATTTCAATTCAATTAAAGCCCTTATCCTGCAAAATTTAGATTAGCCGCATGTAAATATTGCACGCTGCCCGAAGCAATCCCAAGCCATGTGCATATTTTAATAATTAAACCGATGAATATGCATGAACTCGACGCTCCGCTTCCGTTCACAGGCGATCAAGTTCCGCGGGCTAAACACGATAAGTCCGAGCAGCTCTGTCAAACAGCGCCAACGCGCTGGTATGTCCAGTTCAGGGAGTTCTATCGTCACCACCGCCAGTTCGGCATCAAATATTTCATCGTCGGGGGCTGGTGGTAACACTGATAGTGAGATGACCGCTTTTGAACTGGAGGCAGCCAAGCAACAACGTGCTAACATCAACCCGCCATGTTTCCAATGTTCCTCCATCAACGAGAATACAGCTAAGAAGTTGTGTAGGAAGCAACCGCTGGCATTAGTTGCGCATACTCAAAGCCAACTCATGCGGACATACCCAGCTGGAATGCGAATTGATTCCTCCAACTTTAATCCGGTTATTTTTTGGTCTTTTGGGATACAAATGGCTGCCCTGAATTATCAAACTGAAGATAATGCAATGCAATTAAACACGGCCATGTTTGAGAGTAATGGGAAATGTGGTTATGTTGCCAAACCGTCGGTAGTGTGGGATCGTTCCCATGTGATGTACAGACGCTTCAATCCCTGGGACAAGGAATTCGATGGTTTGCACTCGTCCCAAATGATTATCAACATTGTTTCAGGACAGTATGTCAGCCAGAACAATGTGAACCTCAACACATATGTGGAGGTGGAGATAATTGGCATTCCAGTAGATTGCAGCAAACAAAAGACAAAAGTGGTGCAGAAGAACGCCCTGAATCCTATTTGGAACGATACGTTTCACTTTCGTGTAATGTTCCTCGAGTTGGCCTTTCTGCGCTTCGCTGTGATGGACTCAACGAGTAACCATCTTTTAGCACAGCGCATCCTTCCCTGAAATCACTCCGACCTGGATATCGGCATCTCCGGCTACGATCACCGCAAAACAAATGCTTAAACATGTCGACATTATTCATCTACTCGCGAGTCGAAGAGGAGTCACTTGAAAATTCCGACAACGGAGATAGTCTGGAACGCGCCCCTGCCACTATTCCAGATAAAGAGGACAAGAATTTGGACAATAATTACGTGGGCATTTCTGGCACGCCATTATGCGTAAAAAGACGCATGTTTTTCTTGATGGTGTATGGAGTGATGGCGGAAGAACCATATACGATATTGAAGATCACCCAGGAGAGTACCACACAGGATGTCCTCGTTCAAGCCCTAGCAAAAGCTGGCCAACCAGCTGATAAAGTTAATGATTACATTCTGGTCGAAGAAGTTGCACGTGGGTGGGAGAAAAAAGACCATAACCTACCTGCAACGCAACGAGTATTAGATCTTCATGAAAGACCTTTACAAGCACAGTCACAATGGAAAGGAGAAGGGCGTTTCCTTCTTAAGAAAATGGGAGATGACCCAAGTAGTCGTGCCTGGTTGAGTTCGATCAGAAGCGTTGCAAATCGAGAAAGAGAAGCAAGGAAATCCGATGGGGGTACTACAAACGCATGGGAAGAAAACGATACTTTCCTCGTTTGTATCTACAATGTCTCACCGGAAATCCCCTACGCCATTTTAAAAGTCCCACTGAACGCATGCGCGCAGGATGTTTTAGCGCAAGCATTAGTGAAGGCACGCCGTATGGAAGACCCAATGAATTTTGTTATCGTCGAGGAATTGGAATGGGGTGGTGCTTCACACAATCTCCAATTCCGACCGCTTGCCGACGATGAAAACATTTACAGTGCGCAAAGTCATTGGCAAACAATTGGACGATTCATAATGCAGGAGCGTGCGAACGCTACACCTCAATCTCTACGCAAAAACCGGATCACTTCCAGTTTACGACTGGCGACTCTCGATCGAATCAGCCGGGGATTGAATGTTGCACGCAGTGTGGCCACCAACAGCATTAAAGTGCCCGTGCAGGTTGCACTCAGTGATCCCACCACATCCAAGTGGAAGAGTAAAACCGGCGAGGAGTCACGCAAAGGCCTTCTGCGCGGTAAAGTCAACTCGGAAAAAGAAACCACCTCGACGATCCAACAGCCGAAGACGCAGTGTCATCGCGAAGTGCACTCTGAAGGTGAAACACTCAGCGATGAAGACCAAAAGGAGTCGGACCTCATGGCCACCGTTTCCAGGCTGAAGAAAGTGTCGCTGCGCAAGTTCAAAGAGTGGAAATCATGATTGGACTGAATTTAATATTCAACACGTACGAATACATAAAATAATAATATCGAAATGAACGCGAATTTATTATTTACGAGCTTTAAAACTTGAGTGATGCAATTTGTATAAAGATACTAACGTTTAAGGATAAAACACGTAGTCGTACATAATATATATTACACAAGCGTAAACCAAAGCGTAGCGAGAGAGATATAAATGTTACTACTGTTAAGGAATAATAAGATTTTATACATCTGACATCTACAATAACGTTATCTACTAAAACATTAACGATATACATATAAAATCATTTGTAATTATTGCATATATTATCGTTTATTATGATTGCGCTAAAATTCGAAATTTCGTTATCTTGTTACGTTATCCGTCATTTTATAAGATCTCTAGTCATTAATATACACATAGAAATAACCAAATTTAAAAAACTCTTAAAGAAACCTAAACAAATAATAACATGATAACCGCTCTATAAATAATAATCAATACTAAATAATATTTAAATAATCCAAAGAAAGATGCAAGCTAAAAAAGCAAAAGAATCATAAACTTAAAAAGATGAAATACTTATGTAATTGAAAACTTTTAAATGTCAATACAATGTATTACTTACTATTACGATTATATAATGATGATGATCTATATCATATCGTTATTTGTATTATCAGACAAATATTTACATAACTATTTATACATTTCAAAAGAGCTCTTAAAGTGTATATCAGATTTATATTACGTATAAATATGAAGATATCAAACCGTTGTCAAGAAATCTCTATTTAATTTTCTTACGGATGTCTAAACAAACGATAAAAAATACAAATATCATTAACACATTAACAGAATGAAAACATATTACGATTACGATATAATTATCACAGAATACATATAATGATGATATAGTTAAACGCTAGTCTTAGTAGTATTGTCACACAAACTCAGTCGATTCATATTGATCAATTAGACCGTTGTCAGAAATATTAATGTCTAGATAATTCTAAGCGTGTGCGACATTGTAGCGGCAACGAGTTTCTTTAATATTTGATGATGGCGAATGGGTGGCATATAGATGACGCGTGAATTGTCTAGATTTTGATGTGATTTTTCAATTGAATTTCGATGTCAAGCGCGATGCAATGGAACGAACCAGTGACACAATGATAAAAAGTATAAATATTTATTATTCAGTTGAATATACCGATATCTGCATTAAGTTTTCTATCTGTACGTTTTGTTTGGCGAAATAATTACGACTGCGACATAGTTCTATATATCCAGTTCTAGTGGATTGACGAGTATGTTAATTGGCGGTGAATTATTTATATTTATTGACTTCTAATTGTAGATTTGTTTGTTTTTGGAGCAATTACGGCTATATTTAATGCGTTTTGAATGTGAACACATTTATATTTGAAATTTGAGATATATTGTTACGACAGAATGAGTGATCGCATGATAAATAATCTATTTACAACAACAAGATAATACTTAATTGATGTTATTTAATGAGAATACAATATATAATATTTGTTAATATTATCGTTTACTAAAGACATTCTAATATGTAGTCGTTTTTTGTCTTTCTTGATACCAATTTATTTTAGATAGTATTCGGGTAAGTAAATTGCAATATAAAAGATATTGTTTTCGGTCTGAGATTTTCATTCAAAGGGGAAAAAAAAATAAAAAGAGAAAATCAAATTCAGATTGCAAACGTAGATTCATTTATTTTGTTCATATTTGAGGTAAGTAAATAGATGGTTGAGATTTTATGCTAAAGCATACGGAGCTAAACCAATAATGTTTCCACTAAAATCACAATAATTAAAAAATATATTTTTTTTTTGTTTTGCATATGAATTTACGTACCCTGGGCCATAATTGCAAGTATACAACCTGGCGTATGGATATTGTGGTTTAGTACTATCATAGAAACAAATAAAATCACAGCCTATTTTTGATGAGTCATGCCATACCAACTAAAAATGTTTTTTTGTCGAATAAAATATTCTAAATTTATGTCTAAAATTTTACTTGAGTATAATGGCCAGTTGCTGCACTAGGTCGATTCGGATATTTATATAATTTATACTCCGTATACCAATATCTGATTGCTTCAGCCCAGTTTTGATCGCATGACTTAACACTGTTCCATGAAATAAACAAGTTTTGACCAACGTGTCTCCACCTATCTACAAATCAGTGTATTCGTCATTTAATGTATTCATCTAATTGTTTTTGGTCAAATTACTGTCGCTAGCAATAACATGTTGCATTTTGCATGTTTTTGACACAAGTTGACCTTTCTTTCCCAACTCATCATCGTAGGTCATCGTGAGAATATTTTTCCCTTTCGGTTGGCCTGGAACCTTCCCGTCCATGATTGCACGTCGATATTTATTATGTTCGCTCACAGCGACTTTCTTGCCGTCGGCGCTTATTCCCCATTCTGAAATATATTTTCATACATTTATGTATTTTTCGGGATGATATTACCGTAGATGTTATCTCCATTAGGGCATTTTTTTGTTTTTACTAAACAAATTATTTGTATGAGCAGCACAAGCAGCACTGGAAAATGAGGTTTCATATTTGCAGTTTCAGTGAATAACAACAAACTGATTGCGATTTCCGTTGAAGTCACAATTTTATATAATGTTGTTATGTGGGTTGTTGTTGTTGAAGTCTGCGGACTATTCGCATTATCTGTGTTTACAGCATGAAATAAAAATCAGCTCATAATTACTTATTTGACATAGGTATATTAAATTGGACAAAGGTGCATCAAATATAATCAAATTTTAAATGCTTCAAATAGTAATGTTGTTAGAAATGTATAATTACAGGGCCTGAACTTGCCTGTACAAATTTTATTATTAACAATAAATGAAAAATTTCAACAACATAAAAGGCCAATACATTAATCAATGTTTAGAAGTGCTCGCCGCGCAAGACATTTCACCAACATTCAAAAAGGTATCTTATCACAAAAAGGCAAACTGCATGAAGTGAACTCGAAAGAACTAAAACCAAATAGAAAATAAATCATTGTAGATATTTGGTCTATGGAATGCGTGGTGCAATCTTTTATTCAAATTGCGAAGTAAAAGTGACCTTCCATTCCCATACAAGGCCACAATTACCCCACCGCACCAAACACACACCTAGCTGCTGTGCTAAAGTGCGTTGTGAATCAGTGATGCCAGAACGTAGGTAAAAAGTGGCCCTACGGTGTAGCATCATGCCATAGCACTGTGTGTACATGTATCATATGAGAATTTTAATAAAGAAATTGTTTTTACATGACAATAAGGCCTTATCATAAAATTATGTTACTGGCATCCGCTTCAAAAGTAAATATACTTTCAGAATCCAAAATCAGAATATAAAAATTCCAATTATAACAAAACCTGCATTTGCTGAAATAAAAGATTTCGTCCTAAAAAGGCAAAAGATAACTCTTTTTTATGCTTAAAACTTAAAAATTGGACTTTTTAAATTCTGATTTCGGATTCTGAAAGTATATTTAATTCTGAATCAGATACCAGTAACACAATTTTACGTTAAGGCCTTAGTGACATGTAAAAACATTAATTAAAATTAGCAACAAAGCTAGGAAAAATGTTAAGTAAATATTCAACGTAGAATTAAATATTCAAAAAATTATCAACTTTTATGCACATTTTGGCGCACTTCTTAAAGGTGTAGGGAGTTCGAAGGGCATGCATAATATAAAGGGTCTCTTAAACTTGTGAATGTCAAATAAGTGACTTTGTTCAGAAGATCCAAAGTATTATCCATACCATGTTTTCTAGATTGCTTCGTTGATTGTCATTTTCGGGCATTGAATATTTAAAGAATCAAAAAGGCATCCTTATCATAAAGAAAATAAAAATGTAAAATAAAATGCTATCGCTTTAATTAATTTAACATTTTATTAACTTATTGTACAAACTATAAACAAATCAAGATTGAGGGGGAAAATAGGCATGAATTTACACTGCACGAAGTTATTGCCTAATCAAACATTTCATAATATTCATATTTACGCTATATAAACAAAAACCGTTTATCTCACTTCCCATCTACCACAAGTTTTAGTCATTTTTAGCTAGTTGAATTTTGAAATTAATTAATTTCCAGCGCAAGTGTAGAAAATTGGCATTCAATAGTACGTTGAAGAATACATTTAAAAAACTGAGAGAACAACTGAACAATACCTCTTGCTGACAACTAGGTTCATAGTGTAAGTGTTTTGCTTTTTGTTGTGTGTGGTTAAGAGATAAATATACAAACGTGTAATTCGCGCTTCGCACACTGGCAAGTTACGAATTTTAAATTGCTGGCCATAAATTACTTAATTTTTTGTTTGATTTAGCACAATTAAATCCTGTCGCAATTAACACTCGTAACTTTTACAATTGGTGCCACGTTTTAAAATTGAAAACCGCCCATGGGCACCGACTGATCGGGGCTGAAATTATACTGTTGCTGTTCGGGATCAACGGAAGGAGCCACCCGACCATCTTCGCCCTCTACACCGAAGAAGTGTTCAATGATATCGTACGCCTTCTGGTATATCTCCATATTTTCATGCGCTTGCAAAAATTCAATTTTGTCCAAACCTAAACAAACAAAAATTCATTTTCATTCATGGAAATCTTCAAATATTCGTTGTAAAGAGATCCTTACCGTAACATTCCTCAACTAAAACAGCATATTTATTAATCCCCGTTTGTAGATTCTTTGCATCCTGATCACCAAGACGCAAAATATTCTCGAGCCCATTCAACGCAACTAGAACAATCTTGATATCCATCACGGTAAGAAGTTCGCAGAGCGGTTTAATACAACCCTCATTAACCAAATAACGTATCTGATCTGGTGTGCCGCCGCTAGTCGCGTTTGTAATCGCCCAGGCCGCCTCCTTCCTCGTCTTAAAGTCAGCTTTGGTCATCAAGTCAATCAGAATAGGGAAAATATTCGCGTCCAATACAGCCTGTATCTGCTGCCGATTACCGGCTGTAATATTACTGAGCGTCCAACACGCCTCCTTCTTCACAGTCTCCTTCGACGAGCTCAGCAATTGGTAAAGACACGGCAACGCGCCACAATTAAGAATAATCTGCGTTTGAATATCATCCCCAGTGACAATATTACCCACAGCGCGTAGAGCTGCAGACACAACATTGGGCTGCGCATGCGTTAGTAACTCAACCAATCGTCTGCAAACACCGGCGTCAATGACAGCCTGAATTTTGTCATTGGGGCCATCGGAGAGGTAACTCAACGCCCAGCAAGAGTCCGACAGAACGTCAGGATCGTTGTGGAACAACAACCTCGCAAGGACCGGTAACGCTGGACTCACTTTCGAGAAATCCGGCGGTGGATTCTTACCCCGGCATAAATTCGAGAGCGCCCAGACAGCATTGCGCGTCAAGGTTAACTTAGTTGACTTGCCAAGAAGAACTAATAACGGCGGCAGAATACCAGAGTCCAATACATGATTGCGGCATTCAGGGGAATCCCCGGCTATATTACCCAGCGCCCAGACTGCTTGCTCTCGTACGTCCTCATGCTCAGAGTTCAGCAGTTGAATAAAGATCGGCACTGCACCTGCGTCGATCACCATCCGCGTTTGTTGAGATGTGCCGGAGGCAATGTTCGTCAGCGCCCACGCAGCTTCAAACTTTATGAATTATCAATGATAAATAAATCCAAGTTGAAAAAATTAATAAACTTACTTGGAGAACAGAGTTGCTGGAATATTTTAAAAACGAGACAAACTTCGGCACAATCCCAGTACTAATCACTTCATCAATTGGAGGATTTGGTTCTCTGCTAAGTAATTTCCTAAATTTCTCTGTAGCACTGAGCTGATCCCTAACATCAGAACTGTACAGATCCTGCACCATTTCTGGTGTAATGACTGGCGCCTCTGGAGGCAGCATTTCTCCATCCAACTAATGAAAAATCATATAAAATACCATTAAATATATATATAACATGTTTAAATGGTACCTGTAAATCATTATCTTCTGGTAACAGGGCGCAATTGACATTGCGCCGTTTGTTGAGGTGCTGCTCGCGTTTCTGCTTGCGCAACTGAAGGCCCTCTTCTTCTCGCCGGCGGCGCAGTTCCGCCGAGTCGAGCGTTGGATTTTTGTAGCGATGCTTATGCGCTGATCCAGACATCTGAAACGAGCACACTTTGAGGTTAGATCCGATGTAAGCACTTGCACTGCTTTAAAACGCCCAAGAATTTCAGCTGCGAGCCAAAGTCGCAAGCACATTAACGTATCGAAACAATTGGTGTCGGACACAGCAACTAATCAAGCGCTATTGATAGCCTAATTGTGTATTTAATGAAAAAATTGGCGTGTGTCAACGTCAGAGGACAACCACACGACATACCTCACTGTCTGTGATCCAAATGCGTTTCACTTGCGAGAGAAAAAAACGCAGCGCATTGCTCACGAATGCATCAACATACCTTGTCAGCTATTGCTTTGTTTCTCGGCGTAAACTTAGCTTGAATCCAATTAATTTCACAAAATCATCACAAATTTTCTAACGATCTAAGGACACAGGACGACACACGAAAACTGTCAGACAAAATCACTAATGATCTGAGCGCTCCTAACGGGAATCGTGCAAACTAATCTTCTTATTGCAATATTTATATTGCGCTGAACTGTTGGAATAAACATAAAAATGTATTTAAAAAACATATCATTTATAATAATCTATCATAACGTTAAATTTACCATTTTTGAAGATAAAACTTTTTTAAATATATTTTACGACGTAGATGGTAGCACTGCACGGGAAAAGTTCATGGTCGAACTGACTACACGAAACATTCGGAAATTGTAATCAATGGAAATATGATCATAGGCACGAAACAGCTGTGACCGACACACTCGCGCTTTGAAAACTTTGTAGCACAGCCGAAATTCAACAGCGATGCCTCACTAACGGATATGTTTTCTACCAATTCAATGGGCATTGAAGATTCACTTTCTTGGTGAGTAACTAGCAAATTACAGTTTATAACTTACACTGGTTACAAAACAAATCTTGTTTCAATAACAAAAGGTATCAAAAGAAAATAGGCACCTATGACAAGCAACAATGGGAGAAAACAATTGAACAACGCATTTTGCATGGCTTGAATAATATTCAGCTGAAGACAGCAAAACCCAAAACTGATCTGATTGACTTGGACCTTGTCAGAGGTGGGTTTCATAAGCTTTTCATCATTTCACATGTCACATTCACCTTGAATTGTTGACCTAGTTTTATATACTCCTTTTTACAGGATCTTCCTTTACAAAAGCAAAACCAAAACATGGGTTTTGTACAGTTTTTAGACTATCTATATTGAGGATAGTTTTTCTGCCACTCTACTCAAGATGGTGGGTGAGACAAACATCAGGCAAGATATTTCTTGCTCTTTTGTTTCTCTATCTACTACAGTTGTTAAACATTGGGATTTATTCTTATCACTCAAAAGATTTGGTATGTAAGTAGTATATATGCTTGTTTCATTAAAAAAATACTTTACTATTCTCAAACTAACAATTATTATTTGATATTCAAGAATATTCCAGTGTCGGAATTCGTCGTTCCATTGCTAATGATCTGGATATTTAGTTTTGTACATTCACAAATAGTTGCAACTAATCCTGGCCCAGATGTAGAGCATGTTGCAACGGCAGTCAAGAAAAACTACAAGCGTCGCGGTATACGAAAATCGCGCAAAACAAAATCTGATGGAACAAAGCGTACGCGCGCCTTACGATCTGATAAAAATGTTTTATTCCAAGAAAACGAAGTGATAATACCTAATAAGACTAAGGGCGAATCGATGTTATCAAGAACTAGAAATAAAATTAGAAATAGACGCGATAAGAGCAAAGTCGTGGATGATGACGGCTTCGAGAGCCTAAACGGTTATGGTTCCAGTCCCAGTGACATTGGCGACTTGGATAAGTCGCCCTTGCAACAAGCTTCAACTTCGAAAAGCTCTGGTATACGCTGTAATGAGTGGGTGCATTCCTTACCTCTAAGACGGAGGCAGTCAGCTCCCGAAATTAGATACTCCAGTATTTACCAGCACCGGACTGATTCCGACAGTGATCAATCAGTTGCCATCGAGGTGCCTGCTCCACACCTACCGCGCACCGCCTCACAAAATGACATTTTCGACCATTCAAACGGAATCTTCGTTGGTTTATCCGCTTGTAATTTATTAGCAAGTAAACAACGTTTGGAAAGTACATGTGATACAGACGAGGAAGGCGAATGCGAAACGATTTCCTCACCGGACACAGTCACAAGTGGACATGTAGATCCACAAACCTCCGGGAATGAATGGATACCAATCGGGTTGACTACAAACAGCGAAGAGTGCAGTTATAGTTCGGAGCTGTCTGAATCAGACGGACAGTATGATATTGACGCACCTACTAATTCTATTCTAAGTCCATATTGTGGGCCATCCGGGCGGGTGAGTTGCACGATATGGGACCGCAAAGAAATCAAAAAAGCAGACCTTTCTGTAGTGGAGATCAGTTCTGTGATTATCGCACGTGTGGAGACAATGCCCGGGAATACGGATTGTTTCTATGTGGGCATGTTTATTACAACTATCATTTCGATTCTGCCGTTATTGTGTCGGTTTTGTGATAAGGCGATAGATACATCTTCAGAGGATGAACTGCAGGTGACAGTCGTGCAGATTGGTCATTTAGTAATGACAAAATTTACGGAACCAACTTCGGAGATTTTTGCGGCATTTTTTGGGACGTATTTGTAAGTTTATCGAGTTGTAATCGAATAATATCGTTAATTTTAATATTTTTCTGTTTTAGGGAAAGTTTAATAATGCTTATTGCTGCAATCGAACGTTTTGTCATTGGTTTCTTCCTATTTTTCCTTCTCTCAGTGGCCGAACGCACGTTTAAACAGCGTTTCCTTTACGCCAAATTATTCTCACATCTCACATCCTCGCGCCGCGCTAGAAAATCCGACCTTCCACATTTTCGCCTTAATAAAGTACGTAACATTATAACTTGGTTATCAGTGCGTTCGTATCTCAAGAAAAGAGGCCCGCAACGCTCTGTCGAAGTGATAGTCTCAGCAACCTTTATTACAACGCTACTTCTCTTATCCATCATTTGCATGGAGTCACTGAAAGACACATTCGTCTTAAACTCGCAGTATAATCTTGAGATACTCATCTGGAGTATTGGACTTGGAACTCTAATTCTACGATTTCTCATCCTGGGTGTGAAAATTAATAAAAAATATCGCAACTTGTCGGTGCTCATCACAGAACAAATCAATCTGTACCTGCAGATTGAACAGAAACCGCATAAGAAGGAGGAACTTATGGTGGCAAACAGCGTATTAAAACTGGCAGCTGATTTACTCAAGGTAAACTTCTATTTATATTTATATTTATAGTAGTGTTGATAATTATGTAATTGTTTCATTTGTTTAGGAACTGGAAAGCCAATTCAAAATATTAGGCCTCTCAGCAAATCCTGTGCTGTACAATATCACAAAAGTGGTGATATTATCGGCTCTTTCAGGAGTATTATCCGAGATCTTGGGCTTCAAGTTGAAGCTACATAAAATCAAACTAAAGTAGGGCGAACAAATAGTGATTGAATTCATAGACTTTTATCTAAATGAAACAGATTATATTGATTTAACAGTAGCTGTTAAAGTTTAGAGATTATAATCTAATACAAATTGAAAATACTTGCTATAATACTTGTTATAGAACTGTTTTGAACCACGTTTGAGATTCATTAATACTTGAAACGTGTAAACGAAATCCTTACCACTCTAAATCGTCTGGAAGTCCACCGGGATAATCGCCGGTAAGACAAGCAGTGCAATGTCCGATTTTGTGACCATTCATTGGCTTGATGTCCTTCTTGACAGCAGCAACAAGTCCCGGCACGCTTAAATACTCCAAACTATCTGCGCCTACTTGCTCGGCAAGTTCCTTGGAATCCAAAGTATTTGCAATCAATTCCTGTTTAGTAGGAATATTAATACCCATGTAGCATGGGTAATGCAATGGCGGACTGGCGACTCTAATATGCACTTCAGTCGCGCCAGCTTTTCTTAAAAGTCGAATAATCTGCCCGATTGTGTTTCCTCGAACAATTGAGTCGTCGATGAGAATAACTCGCTTCCCGCGGACATTGCTGGATATCGGACTGAATTTCAATGCCACGTTGTGTTGTCTGAGGCGATTACTCGGTTGAATGAATGTACGTCCAACGTAGTTGTTTTTTGCTAAGAGTTCCCCGAATGGGATTTTTGATTGTCTTGAATAACCATGCGCTGCAGCGTTGCCTGATTCCGGAACTGAGCCTACTACATCAGCTTCAACAGGATGTTCTTGAGCTAGTTGTTCACCGCAACGTAAACGTACTTGATAAACTTCCTGCCCTTCAAAGATGCTGTTAGGGCGAGCGAAGTATACATACTCAAAAATACAGAATGCGTTTTTAATGCCGGGAATGATATCGATGGATTTAATCCCCTGTCTGGTGAGTTCTAATATTTCGCCGGGAAGTACTTCACGCTGATACCGCATCGGATGTAAATACGCGCATGATTCGGAAGAAATCGCCCAACCGTCTACTGTTTCCCCGTCAGCCGCCATTATTTCACCGAGACACAGCGGGCGATTACCGAATGAATCTCTGACGGCGAAAATTCGATCCTTGAGCATAATCAATGCAGAATAACTCAACGGAGCCAATTGCATCAGGTGTTTAATTCTTGCTGGCCAGTCAGGGCCATTCACTTCACCATCAGGTGGAATTAAACATAGTGCTTGAGTTATCAACTCACTGTCACTATGAGTTGATAGACCCACACCTCTATCAAGTACTTGTTTCCTCAATGATGCACAATTTACTAGCTCACCATTATGTGCCACTGCAAGAGAGCCGTGCATGGAATGCACGACGAAAGGCTGGCAGTTTACTTGTTCGGATGCCGCAGAGGTTGAATAGCGCGTGTGGCCTATGCCCATGAAACCAGACAGTTTTCTCACATTCTCGTTGTTGAAAATATTCCGCACGAGGCCCATGCCTTTCTGGATGTGGAAGTGGTTGGAACCATCGCTGGTTACAATCCCAGCGGACTCCTGGCCGCTAAGTAATGAGTTAAATCAAAATTGTGAACTTACTTAAGTCGTTAGGAGTTTACCGATGTTGGAGAGCCTCGGTGCCGACCAAAATAAGTTGGGCGGCTTCTGAATCGGCGGTGGATTCATTGAAAATTGCTCCGAATATTCCGCACTCATGAGTTAAAATTTTTGCGTCTGTTCTTTGTGATTTTCTCCAATTGGTGTAAGACTGGGAATTCTCCGCCATGCTGGCACTGAATAATTTAAGTTTATGAATTAACTGTCGCAAACACGCGCAGCGAGCACGTTGGAGACCAGACGCCGCGAGCGGTTTTTTAATTTTAAACAAGAATGCGACTAGTTGTGTTGTTCAGCCTTTTTCAACTACAGTAGAAACGGTTTTTTGGTGTAGCTAGAGTCATCTATGATTCACAAATTATAACTGGATATAGAAATGCAAATTTTAAATGAATTAATCATAAGCAATAAACAGAAACTTCTAAAGATAACAAAAAAAATAAATAAATTAAAATAAATAAAAGTAAAGAATACTTTAGCTATTTTAGTATTTTAATGATAAATTAACAGTTGGCTTGGATAATAAATAAAAACACCAAGTTAGCGTTAAAATTAATGTTAAATTCAAAAAATTTATTTCGTTCGTTCGTTCGATAAAAGTACATTACTAATAGCAACAATTCTACAGTCAGTACTTATTATTCAATTAATATTTCGATCAAATGAAAATCATCGCCCGTACCATTCGTGTTCAATCATCAATTACGCCAGCAACTACTTTGTTAACAATTAACATTTATTATTAACATTTTGGAAGTACTCAATTATTCGTCATTTACGTTTCAATACGCTTATTATCCATTCAGTTTATTAATTCTGACAATTCTTCCGGTTCCATTCTGAGCAATGCCAATTTTTTCTTGGCCACTTTTGAGATTTGAATATCGATAGGTTTTGCAGTGTCGTATAGCGAGGGCGCTTTGAAGATAATCATCCCCGTTTCGATAACGCATGCTAGCGCGAATATCCACAAGAAGAGTCGATCCAGCACCACCGCGACGTACCTACTTCCAGTCTTCCTCGACGTTCTCGAACTTGTCTTTGTTCTTGACGTGCTGAGCAATGAACTTGGCGTCCACAAGAGTCTTCTCCATGTCCTGCAGCCCAAATTTATCTAAGGTTGGGCTCACATCACTGATGCCATCCACTGTATTGGTGCAGCTGGTGGCAGGACTGTAGAGATTATCATCGGCGCCGGACAATGGCAGCGGTAGGAATGGTGCCTCACCAAAACAATTGTTGTGTAGGATTGAACGGGACGACAGACGCTTTTTTTTAAACCAGTTGTAGGATTGAACGGCTAGCGTTCGAGAGCCTTGAGACGAGTGAGCGCGCTTCAAGGGCATTGGGGCTGTAAAGACGGCGGACACCCTTTTTAAATCAGTCATCATTTAGAAGTTGTGGACGTCGGGTGTGCTGGAGTTGTCTGAGAATTTAACTGACTTATTTTGTGTAATCTTAATATTTTTGGGGATTTTACTGTCATTCACGTTTTATATTCATTAAATTATTATCATTTAACTGCCAAAAGTCCATATTATTATTATTTGTATCAACATTCCTACAAAATCTGGGGGCTCAACCTATGGACTGACTACAACATCTGGAGGCTAAACCTAAGGACTTGCTGCAAAATCTGAAGGCTCAACCGAAAGACTTTCTATGAACATTGAGTGTGTGAGTGAACATAGACGATAACGACGATTAACAGTGTAACGAAGTAACGACGTAACGAAGTCGCAAAGAAGCCAAAAGTTGCAGCCGTGAGCAAAAAGTGAGGAAAAGATGGAGATCAACTGTTTACACGACAATCCGCGTGCCGCGAAACAGATTGATAATGCACCCGCGAGTTCACTGAGATTGATGCATGAAGTAATATTTGATGTTGTTGCGCCGCGAATGAATCGTAAATTTGTACGCACTTTTTCGGGTTTCGGTTTCACCAAAAACTCAGAAGAGTATGAACAATTACGAAGGAGAATTTACGAGAAATTCTCAGTGAAGAAGTTAACAACCGCGTGCAACATGTTAGACATTGACGACAGTGGAAATAAAGACGAGATGTGTGATCGCGTGTGTGAAGTGCTCAGAGACTTGAACAACTTGAAGACGTACCAGCTACCCGAAGATGACTCAAACGACGAGGAAGACGACGACGACGACGATGAAGAAGAAGACGACGACGACGACGAGAAAGACGACAAGGACGACGACGAGAACGACGACGACGATGAAGATACTGACGACGACGTGACTTTACAACATTTAAGACGAAAAATGCTTCGTTCTTGTGATCGAAAGAATTTGGATAGCCGTGCCAAAATTAAAGACGACGATCAATCAAGAAGAAGCCAAAGACGTAAGAAGAGCAGCATCAAAGTCTGCGAGGAGAAGAAGAAATTGAGAAGACGATACGAGGACGACGATGAATTCGAACCACGAGGATCCACATCGAATTCAAAGTTTACTTTATCCTTTCGAGACGTTGAGGATATGGTTAGACCATTTACGGGCGAAGACGCGTATGGTATTGAAGCATGGACCGAAGAGTACGAAGAAATTGCGGACATGTTAAACCTCAATGCTTTACAAAAGCTGATTTTTGCAAAAAAATGCGTAAAAGGTCTAGCTAAGAAGTTTGTCCAGAGTGAAATTGGACTAAACAGTTGGCGGAATTTAAAAGACGCATTAAAAGATGAATTTGGCGACCAGTTAAGTGGTGCAGATGTTCACAAGAAGATGATGAGCCGCAAAATACTGAAAGGAGAATCAGTCCAAGAGTATCTGATTGTGATGAAAGAAATGGGGTATAAAGGTAACCTTGATAAGCAGTCGGTTATGCAGTATGTGATTGAGGGATTGCCAGACGGGCCAAACCTTACACTGCTGTACGGCTGCAAGAAATTTAAGGAGTTCAAGGAAAGACTCAAAATATATGAGAAACTATGCAATAAGACGGAAGAGACAAAACAGCCCTTAAAGACAGAAAACAGACGTACGACGATAAATACGACGGAAGATAAGACGATAAAGAACGCATGCTACAACTGTGGAGAAGTTGGACACATTTCAGCAAGATGCAAGCACAAAGAACCAAAGTGCTTTAAGTGTAATGTGTTTGGGCACAAAGCGAAAGATTGTCAAGTTGTGGAGGTCCAAACTGTTCTGTGCGATGCTGAACAGTTCGTAAAAGACGTAAAGATTGAAGAAATTAAGTGTGAAGCGTTGATTGACACAGGCGCCGCAGTCAACATTATGACGTACAGAATTTACAAGCAGGTAGGTAGTCCGAAACTGAACGGGACTACAAAGATTTTAAAAGGTTTTGGAGGATGGATGACAAAACCAGATGGTCATATCACATTACCAATGACGATAGACGGAAAGACGTACGCTAGTAAATTCTACGTTGCAGACGAAAAGAACTTTGACGTTATATTAGGGCGAGAGTTTCTAAACGACGTGAACATGACGATTAAACGAGGAAAGATAACGTTTGACACGTTAGACGACGATGCATTGCCAATCATGTCGATCGAAGCAGAGGAGCAAGATGAAATATTGCCAATTGAGACAAAAGATGTGAAGAGGAAAGAAGTAGTACGAAAGATGAGTGAAGATTACCAGCTGATAGAGACAAAGAATGACAGAGAGCTGTTAGTTGTTCCCGAAGAAATGGAAACAGAAATAATTAAGAAGGTTCATGAAAGAGGATATTTTGGGGTAACTAAATGTAAAGAGATAATCGAGGAAGAATTTTTTATTAAACGCTTAGAGGAAAAGCTAGAAAGAGTAATAAATTGCTGCGATAAATGCATTTTATTAAACAGGAAGATGAGAAAGAAAGAAGGATGTTTAAACCAATTGTCGAAAGAAGATATTGTTGTCTTAGAAGCACTGCGTGAAGCCGATGAAGAGCTATTTGACGAAAATAGACAATTTCTACGAGAACAGGCAAAAGTCGCAATCGCCAAGATCCAAGTTGCAATTAAACAGACGAAAATGCTAGTTGGAGGAAAATTTAAACCGAAGTTCTTAGGCCCGTACAAGATTATTGAGGCAAAGGGTAAGGACACTTATGATGTTGAAAAAGAGGGCATTCATGAGGGGCGAATCTGACCAGTACCTGTGCCGAGTACATTAAGCCGTGGTGTCCGATAGACGACAAAGACGAGCAATGTTCGAGGGCGAACACCTCCAGGATGGCCGAATTATGTAGGATTGAACGGGACGACAGACGCTTTTTTTTAAACCAGTTGTAGGATTGAACGGCTAGCGTTCGAGAGCCTTGAGACGAGTGAGCGCGCTTCAAGGGCATTGGGGCTGTAAAGACGGCGGACACCCTTTTTAAATTAGTCATCATTTAGAAGTTGTGGACGTCGGGTGTGCTGGAGTTGTCGGAGAATTTAACTGACTTATTTTGTGTAATCTTAATATTTTTGGGGATTTTACTGTCATTCACGTTTTATATTCATTAAATTATTATCATTTAACTGCCAAAAGTCCATATTATTATTATTTGTATCAACATTCCTACAGTTGTTTGTTATTTTCCCTGATAGTCCAAATTTTTTAATATTTAAGGGTCAGGAGTGATATCAGGATGATTACCTTTACCACTTGAGTAATTTCCTCACCCCCAAAAGCAATACTGGCAGTGCCCTAAAGTACATGTCACAATTAGCGTTGTTACAAACATTTGCAAAGAAGCTGTCAAAAACACCCCGTATCCCATTAACTAATTGACTTTCTTGAAGTATCTTAAAAACATCTTAATCTGCATTATTACTGCATCCTTCAATTCAATTAAATTCCACGCATGATAAATAGGACTCACATACGGATCTCCATAACTCTCCGAAAAGGATTCTTTAAAAATACTATTCCCAACAATGGTAAAACCCCTTTTAACAATGGTGAAGAAAACACCCTGTATATTTTTTTAAACTAATTAACTGTTTTAGATATTCTTATTCCTTCTAAATGTACTTTAAAAATTGACATTTTTCACAAAATATGAAAACATAGTATGGAAAACACATGATACAGGTACTAATTGGGTTTTTTTATTTTTTTATAACCATATTAAAGCTTTAGAACTCCTCTACACGACACATCTATATATATATATATATATATATAAAAGAAAGTCGTGTTGGTTAACTCCTTTATAACTAAAGAACGGCTAATCCAATTTAGCTAAAAATTGGTGGAGAGGTAGCTTAGGGCCAGGAGAAGGCAATAGGATACTTTTTGAAGTGAAAACTTTTCTAAAAAGGCACT